TTGAACGTCGTTTCAATTGAAGCATTCAGACGCGATTATGACAGATAGCGCACTGTCGAAACATGCTACTCACAACGGGAATTTTTAAAAATTTGGCATCAGATAACCTAAACTGGTTGTCCTTCCAGATGGCCATGAAATGTATGACGCCAAAAATACACATAATCCAGTCCTTGGAAACGATTAGAACAGAGGCCCAGTTGCGTAGAGTCCCGAGAATGCGCCCCGGACCCCTACATACGTCTCACTCTGTCACCAGAAAGCTGAAAATAGGGCCGCAGATCCGCAGCCTCACAAAGTGCAGCGTTGCAGCCTCAGGACGGTGCCGAAACGCTCGAAGCTCGGTTAATGAGGATGACTGTACGATCCGCTGACGTTGTTGATAGGGAATTCAAAACACCAAGAGTTTCACCAATCCCGTGGTGCTCGGTCACGCCAATCAGTGCATATCCGTAGAGACACTGCACAACACGTGAACAGGTGGACAGCTGTCGTGAGGCGAAGCAGGTCAGTAAACTGAGCAAGTCGAAAGTTTTTTTTTTTGCAACTCCGGCATACGCCTCTGCCATCAATACGCACACGTTGAACGATATGAAAATAAGCAAAAACAAAACAAAACAAAACAAAACCGCATTGGATATATTACGGAATAGCATTGTTGTTTACCGATCTTTTCCCGTGTATTGCGGTGACCTCGTTGTCCGTGTCTCGATATTGTGGCAGCCCCAGGCGGACCTCGGTATTGTGACAGCCCATAACGAGTCTCGGCATTGTGGCAAACCCAGGCGGACGTCACAGACTGCGTCGTAGTCCGTGAGATCCACGTGAGTCTGTGAGATAGCCGAAGCTTGCCCCCCGCCCAGACGGGCCTTGCCGCCTCGCTGCAACGAAACTACGCTGAAGCTGCCCGGTCTTACTTCGCCCGGCCCCAGTGATAAACGCCTCTGTAAATCAACCGCGCAGGCGTGATTAAGTTCTCCGTGTGTGGCTCCAGTGCGCACCGATCGCTAATTGATACTTGTCGTAATGAAGGGGTGGAGGTCGGGGCACGGCTCCCATGACCTCGAGGTCACGGCTGCGCCGGCGCCGACCGCTGGCCGGCGGGGCCATTTCACACTGCGAGTCGCTGCTCAGGCCGGGGTCAACGCCGCGGTGTCAGGTCAGGTCAGGTCAGGTCCGAGTGAAGCCGTGTCAGCTGGGAGCGTCTGCTGGATGCTCCAACGACTGCGGCCCCGACCGGCGTTAGCTCATCAGCCCGTGAAGCACGCGTTGTAAGGACGCTTATTTCGAGCCGGACTCAGGCGCCAGCCTCTGGGACCGGCTGGACTCAGGCGCCAGCCTCTGGGACCGGCTGGACTCAGGCGCCAGCCTCTGGGACCGGCTGGACTCAGGCGCCAGCCTCTGGGACCGGCTGGACTCAGGCGCCAGCCTCTGGGACCGGCTGGTCTCAGGCGTCAGCCTCTGGGACCGGCTGGACTCAGGCGCCATGCTCCGGGACCGTTTACTCTGGATACTGAGTTCGCCCTGCACACCTAAGTCCGGTCGGTCCCGGAGGATGGTGTCCGAGTCCGGCCGGTCCTGGAGGATGGGTCTGACTCCGGCCGGTCCTGGAGGATGGCGTCCGATCCGGCCGTCCTGGAGGATGTGTTTGAGTCCGGTCGGTCCCGGAGGATGGTGTCCGAGTCCGACCTTGGTCCCGGAGGATATGTCTGAGCCCGGCCGGTCCCAGGGGATGGTGTCCGAGTCCGGCAGGTCCCGGAGGATGGCGTTCCGAGTCCGGCCGGTCCCAGGGGATGTGTCCGAGCCCGGCCAGTTCATGAGATCAACGGCCGCAGACGTGCCTGAAATCGTCGCAGATTATTGACGCAGTTCAGATCACGTATTTCATCGCCGAGTGGTATTTACTCTCCAGAGTTCCCGCAGACTGGATGCACTACTTTCTATCAATGCCTCACGTTCCGTCTGAAGTTGGAATCCTTCGGTCTTCGCCTATCTCTTCAATCTTCCAGAATGACCTGTTCACCTGCCCGTGCCCGACTAAAGCGTTACATTCGTGCGGCCGTCTTGCTGTAGTAACGGGGCACAGTCAACGGGCCGGAAAAACTGATATTTTTAATATTTGCCTGCCTGTCTTGCGTTTTAATCGTGTTGGCGCCAAGTCCATTAGGGTCTGACCTAAGTCCGGTCGGTCCCGGAGGATGGTGTCCGAGTCCGGCCGGTCCTGGAGGATGGTGTCTGACTCCGGCCGGTCCTGGAGGATGGCGTCCGACTCCGGCCGGTCCTGGAGGATGTGTTTGAGTCCGGTCGGTCCCGGAGGATGGTGTCCGAGTCCGACCGGTCCCGGAGGATATGTCTGAGCCCGGCCGGTCCCAGGGGATGGTGTCCGAGTCCGGCTGGTCCCGGAGGATGGCGTCCGAGTCCGGCCGGTCCCAGGGGATGTGTCCGAGCCCGGCCAGTTCATGAGATCAACGGCGCAGACGTGCCTGAAATCGTCGCAGAATTATTGACGCAGTTCAGATCACGTATTTCATCGCCGAGTGGTATTTACTCCAGAGTTCCCGCAGACTGGATGCACTACTTTCTATCAATGCTCACGTTCCGTCTGAAGTTGAATCCTTCGGTCGCCTATCTCTTCAATCTTCCAGAATGACCTGTTCACCTGCCCCGTGCCCGACTAAAGCGTTACATTCGTGCGGCCGTCTTGCTGTAGTAACGGGGCACAGTCAACGGGCCGGAAAACGATATTTTTAATATTTGCCTGCCTGTCTGCGTTTAATCGTGTTGGCGCCAAGTCCATTAGGGTCTGACAAACACGCACAGGAGCGGGGACTGTTAGAGGCGTAAACTGCGTCCGATTATCCGTCAAACAGGTCTCTAATAACAGTGAAGAACTGTGGAGACTGACTTCAGAGTGGAGATTTTGAGGCCGACAACAGCGAGCTCGATTTTTTTTATCTGGTCTGACGTTTCCGTCTCCATAATTAGACTGTTTGCTCTGGGTGCTGGCTAGATGCGTACCGAACTGTCAGCATAACGGGTGTGCATGCGCGAGAAACGGTATGTATCTATTGTGTTTACTTGAGGGCAGCACGGTATATGTCCATTGTGTTTATTTGAGGGAGGTACAGTATATTTCTGCTACGTCCATTTGCACCGCGGCACAAGCGCCAATTGCACCAGAGGCACCAGCGCACTGGAGTCGTTTTCAAAAACAAAAAGGTGCGTGGTTGACGGGCTGGTTCGTCCTTGGCTTGCGCCGCTGCCAGCAATTAGCGTCTAAACCATGTTAGCCAATGGCACTGCGAAACTTGAATGGGTTGCGATTGTGATGCAGCATGTAATGCTGGGTTCGTTATGTAATCCACAATTCCCTGTCAGAATCATGGATCGAGAAACATTGAATAATTCGGATATAAAACAATGTCCAAGCAACTGATTTTTAGATAAGACAGTAGTAATAGCCTTATTCCTCAAAGAAAAGCAGGAGAATGGAGAATGGAGATATAGTTGGATTGATATTTCGGCACCACGCCTTTATCGAAACAATAGCAGAAGTGAATTTGTTTGTAATGTTCCTCGCTAATGCACTGAACAACTTACGTAACTGATTT